AGCGCGTTCTCAGTAGGATTTTGCTGAATTCTGCATTGGGTGAATAACCCCACAGCTTCTTTTCACATTAAGAGCAATCGTCTTGCTTGTGCACTTTCCATTTTGCAGTTAGTTCCGTGTTCAACTTTGCAGTGGAATTGCCAGATCACAGGCCAAGCCAATGGTTGAGCGCCAGGTGAGAAGATGTGGCTAACCCAGAGAGCTCAGGTGCAAGCAATGAACCTGAGTGACCAGAAGGAGTGAAGCCAGGATCCACCCCTCCTCACCCTCATTTAAGGGTTAGCAGCTGAGGGGATAGAATCTCTTTGGACGAATGTTTTGCTTTTCTTAAGCTGTTACTGGTCATTGGAAGAAGTGGGTTTTTTTTTTTTTTTTAGTCATGCTGTTGCTTGTAGGATTTGTAGCCTAATAGAAGGTACTGTTATTGCCTTCTTTGCTGCATGAATTTACAGAGCAGAAATTAAATAAGAGATAATTAAAGAGCCAGTGATATTTCTAATAAAAAGCTTTTTTCCCAGTGATTCTTCCAGAGCTCCTACACTTCCCCATGGGATATGATGAATACCTTCAGTAGTGCTTGTGTTTGTGGGCAGTGTGACACTGTTGGAGGGCTGATTTGTATGTGTACCTTTCATGTCTTTTGGGAAGTCCCAGAAGATGGAACAGGCTGCTCAGAGAGCTGTTGGAGTCCCTGGAGGCATTTGAGATTTGTGGGGATTTGGCACTGAGGGATGTGGTTAGTGGGCATGGTGGGATAGGCAGGGGTTGGACTAGATGATCTTAGAGGTCTTTCCAATCTTAATGATGCAATGATGGTTACCATACAATATAGTGGCAGGAAGCATAGCACCCTGTGGTGGATGGAGGTGACCTGAAGGCTCAGAACTGAACAGCTGAACTGAGTAACATCAGTATCACGCTACTGGTTAGATAGCAACAGGGAGAGCAGCAATCGGATTGTTACTAGTTAGTCTCAGCTGTATTGAGGGGTTAGGAAGCTAAAAACAAGGCTTGCAGAGCTGCTGAACTTCTCCTGTGGAAAGGAGAACAAATGGGGTGTCTGTTGGGGAGGTGTGATGTGCTGGTTATTGGGTGACTGCTTTAAGAAGGGTGAGCAGCTGAAGGCTGCCTTTGCTCTAGAGGGAAAAAAAATTAAAGCAGTTTGATAAATGCTGCAAAGATGGGCAAAGCTGTGGCTTAGCTCTTGCCCTATGGTATTCTTGGGCTGTTCTGCTCTGTGACCATGACTGTTGGGGGTGTTTTGTGGGGGTGATTTTCCCTGTACCTTCGGGGAGCACCACATTTGAAAGATTGGAGCTCACGGCCTTGGTGTGAGGAGTGTCTCTGCTGCATTTCCTCTGGCTTCCCCACCCTGAATAGCTGTGTGAGCAGCCAGAGCAGGATCCCTTATGTGAGCATCCTAAAGCACAATGGCTTATAAAACAAGAACAAAAATATCCCTTGATATATCACATGGGAATCTTAATAGCTTGGGGGCTGCATTGAGAATAAGAGCTGCATAGAAGTCTCTTGTGTTCAGCCTGTACTTTGAGATCAAGGCAGTCATAACTTCTTCCTTAAATCCATTCTGAAACACTTGTCTTTGTCTTTAGGGAGCCACTAAGTTACAATGAAGTCTTGTCCGTGTTAGTTTAGTTCCATTTCTGTGGGAAAAGCTGATCCTGCAGTAAAGCAGGGGAGTGTGCAGAGGAGCCTGAGTGGGAGAAGTAGGTTTATCCTGACTGCATTGTGCAGTATTGCTCCTTTAAAGGTGTGGAGATCCAAGTTGCTCTTAACAATGCAGTGATGAGGTTAAAGAGTAGATGTGAGTGATTTTGTGAGTTATAGAAAGAAAATGGTAGTGGAGGGGATTGTACCTGGCTATGCTGCAGTTTTTCTCCACTCTTTATGGCTTGTTCTGTCTCCTATTGATTATAGTTTGGGGCAGTTTTACTGGAGGAACTCGACAAACCCTCAGGGTTATGGGCTTTCTTTTCCTCTCAGTGTTTATTGCAGCACTGGGAATATTGTCAGCAAGGAAGAATTGCTCTCTTCTGTATCTAACTGCTAAGCTGTGGAAAACTTTCATTCCATTTTGTTGCCTTTCTGCCTTGTGTTATGGCCTGTCAGGATGTTCCTCCGTCCTTAAGTGACCAAGAGAGTTGATGGTTGTGTTAGTTTCTAAAAACAAGTAAACAAAAAATCACTGAGATTTTCAGTGTGATTGCTGCAGCACAAGGGGTGGCAATGCTAGACAACCATGATAAAATCGCTGTTCTCTGGGATTGGAAAAAGGTGATGCTAAGATACATGATATGGCTAGAGTGAAAAGTCAGGCAATAGCCTAGTGTAGAGCTGTGCCTTTAGGTTGGCTGGAAAAATGCTACTCTGTGATTGTATGCCTCCCTTCGAGCAATAACTCTAGGCTGAGCTTTGGGAAGAAGGATGGGTGCATCCTTGGTCCTTGTTAGAAGCAGGCTTCACCTTGAGGGTCTGGAAAAGGCTTTGTTTGCTGATGATGCAGGGCTTCCTAAATGAGTCCGGAGTGTGGGGATGCTGCTGCAAAAAGGGCTCTGAGCAGGGTGGAGGCAGAAATACCACTGCATTAGGGACTGGAGGAACACATTAGTTTTGTGTGGCTTACTGCTCTGTTTCGCTTCCCGTTGAGATACTGTGAGCTTAGGAGTGAGCCTCAAACTTCAGCTGAAGTAGATCTGGTCAGAAAGAAGAGCATGGAAGAGAAGACTTCTCCTTAACCCTTCCTTTGGCAAGCACTGATTTAAGAAAGCCAGGCAGTTGTTGGAGCTTGATTCAGTTGTTGGAGCTTGATTCAGACCTGACTGTGTGTTTGTCATGTCAGCGATGAAGGGATGCTGGGGCTTTGCCCTGTGTTTTCTTATGGTGACAGCCTTCTGGTACAGCCCTGCTTCCATCTATAGCATGGGTGTGGGGAGGTTCTGGTGCTGTTTTGATTAAACTCTCAAGGTGACGGTAAGGCTACTAATGGTGAGAAGCTTTGCTCTGCACTGTACTCAGTAGGCTGCTTAGTATAAGTGAGAGTGGTATGCATATTCTTCCAAAATGATTTGCGTGATCCAAGTATACCTAGGACCACAAAAGACAAAGGCCTTCTGTCCTGTAGCTAAATCATCTTCCCAAGGAAGGGGGTAAAGCTGTTTTTTTATCTTCACTTCTCTTATCCTTCAGGGGATTTCAGGCAAGGTCTTCCCCTTTCCCCAGCACACCAAGAGCTTCAGGCTGCAGAAGCGTCTCTAAGCGTGTCCTGCTGGGAGCTCTTCCATTCTGTGCAAAGTACTTACACGTGAAAATTTAATGAGAGAGTAAAAATGAGCCTGGGACTCATTCAGGAACTGAAACATAGGTCTCCTACTGGAGAATGCCTATTAGTGCCTTTATTATTATTGTGGTATTAGATAAAAAGGAGGAAAAGGGACACATTGGAAGAGGGTGTAGTGTTCAGCTGTGCCTGATAATACAGCTTTGCATTCCCTTCTTTCTTGAATGAAGTTCCTGTGTCCAACAAAACAGATCTTGTGTTTTGGAAAGGAACAAAGCAAAATGTTTACTTTCAAATGAACTTATTTTGCTTTAGTTGACATGTGTTCTTAGTCGAGTGTACTTATTGTCCTAGGGCTGTGAATCTTGCTTTCCTACAGTCTACACCATTTGAGTTACTATGAAATCACTTTTTAAAGCAGCATGGAAACCAAGTGGCACTGATTTATTCATGGCAAGCATGTGCTTCTGTAGATACAAAATTGGACCTGATTCTCTTGAGAGCTGGTGGAGGGGCCCCCAAAGCTCCAACCCTTTACAGCCATCCACTCTGCTCTTCCTGCTGGCCATGGGGTTTGGGTGGAGGAAATCTGGGCTGGGGGGCTCTGCCCTCACCTGGGGAAGTCAGTGCAGGAATGTTAGGGATGGGCAATCCTGATGGGGCCACTTAATGCACAATGTGAGTGTGAGGTATGCAGTGACTGTGGCTTATCAAACAGCCTCAGCAGATGCTTGGAGGATGGAGGCTGATTACATTTTGGTATGCTGCACTGGATTTTTTTCCTCTTAGTAAGAATTCATTGTTGTTTGCTCAAAACTTCTCAAGGGTGGTCAGACAGAACTATGAACTTGCTTTGCGTAAGGGAATCTCTGTAACCCAGCTGGTGGGGCTGCCTGTAGCTGGCTGGTTAGCTTTAAGAAGCTACATCAATAAAACACCTAGGACAATTTTTGACTATATTTCTGTTTGACCAGTGGACCCTGCTAATAACAAAGAGCAGTTCTCATCTGCCAGAGTATGTGGCACACGTTTTTTGGGAGGTAGGAACACACGGGATTTGAAAACAGAGGCGTTTCAGGTGCCCATAAACGCTTCGAAGGTCGTTTTTGGAGGTGTTTCACATCTGTTCTTAGGAATTTTGCTCCTCTAATCCCACACAGTTGGACTGGTGCAGCCTGATTCAGTGCTCAGTTACTTTGGTGTTATGCTGCTGTAATAACATCAACTTAAACAGATTTTTCAGTGGCATAAAACTGGAGTGACACGATAGGGAATGAAACATAGAAACTGAGCAAGTTGCCTTCACAGGCAACACAGCAAGAAACAATAAGTGCATTCTTTGCTAGACTGCTAGCAAATTTGCTTCTAAACTGGAGGCATATTCAGAACATATAAGCTGTTTAAAGACTTTCATTTGGTAGGTAACTTTCACTGAAGCAGTGTTGCATAAATCTGTTACTTTATGCTGTACCAACTATGCCTTGCATTTTACCTGCTCATCTGATCTCCATTTTATTTGCCTGTATGTCTGTGTATATATGAATATTTTACAGCCTCTCTTGAAAGGGATTGCAGAAAGCTGTCTTACTTCCAAACACTTTTCTTTACTCAGGGCTTAATGGGGGCTGTACAAATTAGGTCTCTTGCTACATTGGCATATCTAATAATTTTTTTTAAATTATATATACTTTTTCTTTTGCAGAACCCCAGCTGAAGGGAATTGTGACAAGGTTATTCAGCCAGCAGGAATACTTCCTGCAGATGCACCCAGATGGTACAATTGATGGGACCAAGGACGAAAACAGCGACTACAGTAAGAAAAATTAGCCTGTTTTGCAACCCAATTACAATCAAATGCATCACCTAGTGGGTCTTGATTGTGAAGCTTCATTTCAGAGAAGATTGAATTAGGAAGAAGCCAGATGTTTTCTACACATTTTTTTTTTAATATATACTTCCCCTTTAAATCTTGCCTGTGTAATTTCATATGTTTCCTCTCCAATCTTGTTCCCTCCTGCCCCAATTCTGTAACTGCCATCTGGGTGGGGTGGAGAATAAAACCCATGATTTGAACTGCTGCCAGAAGAGAAAGGAGATTTTATTTATACACATGCCACATGGGTAAAGGATACAGAGAATTCTCTTTCCAAGGAGAAGAGGAGATAATTGCTTTTGCTTTTTTTATCCTGAAAAATTCAGCAAGCATTGGGAATTTCCAAGCTGGAGAAATCCAGCTGTTCATCCAAGTCTCTTGCTTTGAGACTGAGATTATTGGATGTCCTTTCCTTTCCAAATGAGGTCTGCTTCCAAAAAAATGCTCAAAGGGGATTATATTTGCACTATTCACCAAAGGATAGCAAAGTGGAGCCGTGTAGGTTTAAAAGTGATGCTCGTATGCAGGAGCCATAATGGTTTAAACCAGCCAATAACCCATATCCCTTTGCCAGAGCAGTGTGCAAGAGAGGGGCTCTGTGAGGAAAAGAACCACACGTGGACAACCTCGCCATGCTCCTGTATACCTCTTACTCTGTGGGGGCCTGAGCCTTCCTACAAGAAGCCTGGCCTTGGATTTTCTCAGGCAGATGCCAGCACACAATGAGTTCAGTGGGCTTTAGCAAGTGAGTAATGAACCAGTGCTGGGTGGTATTAGCTGCTTTTTTTTTGGAAGGAGAAAGACATAGGATGTTTTCAATCTGCAGAAAATCCCATTGGAGGCCTATTTGTCATCTGGCATGCAAAGAGCTTCTGGAAATGGCAGGGATTCATTACTCTCATATATCAGTGAGGACCAAACAACAAAGTAATGGGCTTAAATGGAAGCAGAACTTGAGTAAACAGCAGAGAAAAAGGAAATGTAAGGACAGTTCTGCAATATTTCAGGCAGATGAAAGAAGGGAAGCTTCTTCTGGCCCCTCCTCAGAGGGCACAAGAGCAATCTCCTGTGTCTCTGTGACTGAGTTAGCCCCTCACTGCCCAAACAGTTCTTATTTATGTCAGAGATCGGATTGGCAGCAAGATGCTAAGTACTTGTAAGCCTCTTCTACTCTGTTGTCTTAATTGGAAATAGATGGGCTGAAGGGCATTTCTGGAGTGTCAATTTTTCTGGTGAGATGACAGCCCTACCTTGGCAGCCTGGTGGCACAGGAGGTCATGGCTGTAATGTGCCAAGCCCATTGCTCAGTCATGGGCTGTGCAGGAGGGTTTGGTGCATAAAGGGGCATTTCAGATGGAGATTACGGGGGTCAAACTATCCCCTATGTCCTGACCTTAGGGCATATCAGAAGAGAAAAATCCAATCTGATAGTATTTGGCTCCTGAAAATGAGAAGAGTATGCTTTTTTCATTCCTATTTAACTTTTGACTGCTCACTTTCCTTTATAAATCTTCAGCTTAAGTCAGTGATTTATATGATACAAAGCTTCCTGCTATAGCTTCAAAACTAAGCAACACTTTCCACTTCAGAAATAACAAAAAAAAAAAAAAAAAGCATACATCCTCCTTTCTATATTCCTTTAGATCTCTTGAATTTTGACCAGAAAAAAAACCAAACACGTAAGTGTATTCAACTAAGTGAACAGCTGCAGACTTGCCTCACTGATATTTTCTGTTTTAAAATATTTATCCAGAACACTTCTGGCCAGCTATTCAGAAGCCTGCACTGTATTTCTGTGCAAAACTCATCAAAAATAGATAAATGATATTTTCCTGTCCCTGGAGTGGTGTTGGTTAACTCACTTCCACTGTCGGAGAAGGATGCTCTTGATGCTCGCAGCAGGTCCTTGCCACCATGTGTGGCCACACGTTCTCTGTTCAGAAGTCATCTTCACACAATTAAATGCCCAGTGAATGCTGTGTTCCATACACTGACTCTGTGTGCTGAATCTACGCACTGATTATTTGAATTATCATTATGAAAGGAAGCCTAATTCTTGGGGAATGCATTAGGTTGGTTTACTCTGGCAAAATAAACATTTCAAATGAGATGCTGACATGTCCCTTAGATACATCTGACGCAATTAAAAGTTCTAATAAAAATCCAACTATTTGTATAAGAGGAACTGCTAATATTTAAGCAATTTTAAAATGAATTGTCTATCTGGTTCTCATTTTATAGGTGTTCTTGAGAGGCTGATGGCATTTATTTTTCCACCTTTTCTTTTAAAGAAAAGAGGGGGAAAAAAAACTAAGCCAAGTTCTAATGGTATTTGAATGGGCATCCAGCCAGCTTCCCACAAAACAGTGCTTGGGACATCTGTTCCTTATACCATACGGTTAGAGGCACACTATCTTAACATAAGCAAGAGGACAGGTTCTCTTCCTACTCTTATTGGGATATATGAAGAATTTTTTTGTATGTAAGGTAGCTCAGACCCATAATCAAGTAAGTGTTCAGTGTTTAAAAAGTGTTGTGTGTCTGACAAACTGCAATGATCAACGTGTTTGTGATCAAAGGATTTAGCAGTGAAGTGTGATAAAAGTGCTATAATCAATAAGTGTTGTCGAATATAAATCTGGTGGTGGGAGAAGACGGTGAAATGTAATGACAGCAAATCAGCAGAAGCATACAGTGTCTTAATTTTTCTATCTTCTGCATGTTAAACTGAGGAGTATGTCCATCCCATGTGGTTGCATATGGCATAGAAAATATAACTTTTGCAGCAGAAGTGTTTAATGATTTTTTTTTTTTTTTTAACTACATCAGACCCCATAGGGTGGAATAATAGGATTGTTAATGTTGGAAAAGACCACTAAGATTGTCTAGTCCAATCACTGACGATGTCCCCTCAGTGCCACATCTCCATGATTCTTGAACACCTCCAGGGATGGTGACTCCCACCTCCCTGGGCAGGCTGTGTCAGTGCACCACCACTCTTTCAGAGAGGAAATTGTACTTGTGGAGAAAAGAGAGTTTTGGATATGGAGGTACTTCTGGGTGGAACTTCTCCCCACTAATTCTGGGCATTATCACCCCACTGCCTAATGAATGCTTTGAATGGTCTGTCACAGGTTTTCTATGGAAGACAAATTGGCTGTACAGAAAGAATGATGGCGCCCATTTTGCTTCATTATTTGCAGTAACGTGCTCCATTTTTCAGTGGGGGAAAAGTTAGGCAAGGGAAATGCTTATAAACAGATTTGTTAATTACAGAGGGTTTTAAACCTTTCCAGTAGTGAGAAATTGATTGAAATATAGGCTTGCCTTGGTTACTGTGCTCCTCAACAGTAGAATTATGTTGTAATGCAGCTCTTTGGTGCCAGTAGCTACACTGGGGCTTGTCTGTTTCCACTTGGAACACTAAGAGTAGTGCACTTCTTGGCTCTTATTGTTCAAAGACCAATACCTATGCTGAACTTTACATTGATATGTTGAAGCCCTCTGCTTGCTTCCTATGAAATTGCTTAAACATAGGCACCGATTTTGGTAAGGCTTAAGCATACATTTTGATATTCCATTGAAGATGGTGGTTATAACTGCAAGAAGTTGTGCAGTTTTTAGGAGTTTGACAAATCTCTTGTGTTCTCCATTGTTTGCAAGCAACAATTTTTATTTTTTTTTACTACTTTTCTCTCCCTATTTGCTATAAATGTTTTCCTCTTTAAAAGGGGATCACAACCACTTTTGTCTCATCCTCTCTGTAGTAATTCACGTGAAGGAGGTTCTTAAAAACCATCTCATGATGGAGTTAAATCCATGTTACCTGGCATGTGTGTGTCTAGCAGGTTTCCTTGGAGAGCGATGCTGGCATTGAGTTATGTTTGAGTTCTTCCATTATACCAGCTTTAACAACAGCCTGACCTGAGGAGCTGCAGCAGTTTGACTGGGACGTTTGAGCAAAAGCTGCTTTTGCCTTCAGTGCTGATGTTAAATCAGGGGTGGCACATCACACGGAGAGGTCTGCTTCTCTTGCAGCCATTATGGGAAGACCTCTTCCAGGTGTAGAAATTTGTAAATGATCTATAAAATGAATCAGTTTGAGGATTATGTCCTTACAGTCAGTTGGAAAATAGGAATACTTCATTGTGCTCTGTCACTCAGTCCTTCTTCTACACTCTGCCTGCTGTTGGGTCTCCTCTGGTCTCATTCAAACATCCTGGTCAGTTCTAGAGTTTTGAGCAGATTTATTAAAAAAAAGAAAAGTATTAAAAAGACAAGAAATGCTTAATGAACGTGAAAGGGGCAGTCTGAATTAGTGACTAGGAAATTGGGGAAAAAACTCCCATTCCAGAGTAGTTGTGTGAGGAGACCTTGAATGGAGCATTCACATGTTTCTGCTTGACCCTGTGCCTGTTTTTCCATGTGCTGAGCTCTGCCCATGGCTGGGTCCAGTTAGCTCTTTGGAAGCTGAAGCATAAGGTCCTGCAGCACCTGGATGCTCTTGTCTTACAGATCTCAGTGGGAACAAAGCCATGTTAATGCCTGAGTGTTCAGAATATCAGTGCTGACAGTCCTCTCCCTTTTGAGTCCCTTTGAAATGCAGCAAAAGCCTGACCATACAATAATGCTTAATGGAAAGGTCTTTCACTGAGATTCAGGGGTTGTTTGGAATCAAGCAATAAGAAATAATTGGCAGGAAGTTGCTGCAGCGCTTTAGTCATTAGGATGGCAGTCAAATTGAGTTCTGAAAGGTCGTATCTTCTGTCCTATCTAGTGCTGCTTCTGAATGAGGAGCAGAGCTCTGGTCAGGTCTGCATCTCTTCTGCTGTCCTTTTTAAAAACTGCTTTCAGCATCAAAGCTGTGGCTGTGGATCCTTCATGTAGCTGGAACGGGACTTGTTTCCAACTCAGGACTGAGGTGGGCTAGCCCCAAGGCAAGAAGCAGCAGTGGCCACACGAGCTGATGTCTCAGTAACTTTTGCTTTTCTTTCCACAGCCCTTTTCAACTTAATTCCTGTGGGTCTTCGTGTGGTGGCAATCCAAGGGGTGAAGGCAGGCCTGTACGTTGCCATGAACGCTGAGGGCTATCTCTACAGCTCAGTAAGTACTTGCATCCTTGGTGGCTGGGTGTTGTAGGTGGGAGGGAGGACTTGGAGGCAGTCACATATTGGGAAGCCTGTAAAAGCAGGAATGATGGGAGCTGCTGCAAAGCCACGCAATATTCACTTCAAAGTGTCTCTGTGGAGCTTCGTGGTAATATTTCCTGACCTGTGAAGATACACTTTGCATTCCTTTGAGTAGTTACTTAATGTAGGTCGTGTTGTAGAGGAGGTTTTGTGGTTTGCTGGTTATATTCTGGTTTCATATTTGTGAAATGGGATGGACCGAATGGAATTGCTTCTGCATTGCACCCAGAAAACTGATCATAGGTGGTGCCCTGATGGTTCATGCTCTGCTTTTGACTGAGGTGTAAATCCACTGTAATACAATGACTTCGTTAAAATGGTTCTGGACTGTTCTGTTGGCAGTACTTCAGTGGAGCAGAATTACTCTGTATTTGTGTGGTCTTTTTAATGCACATTAAAGATAAGTGAGGCATTTTTTACTGACTAATTTCCCTATAACTTTCTTAGATGGCATGAAAGGGCATGAGGTTATTCATAAGATTCTCATTTGAAGTAAGTAATTGATTTTCACATTGAATAATTGATTCAGTGATTTATTAAATATGGCAGCCCTTTGCCAGAAATTTTTATGCTTCAAATAACTTTGCTCTAGTTCTACATAGTAAGTAGTGATAGTTATTAACACGCTTCTCATTTCTGTGCTTATGATATCTTGAAAGCATATAGGCAAGATTCTAATCTCATCTCCATTTGTGTAAATTTACAGCACAGTGATTCTGCTCTTGTCTCAGCGTTTACTTTGCTTTAAATGCGCACGTGAGATTGGAGATGGGACTGTTGAAAGGACAACAGCCTCTGGTGTGAGGCATAAATGTTGATTTCCGCGGCCTGTCCACTGTGTGCCTTCCCATAAACCTGCAGACCATGCAGTGTTGTACCATGTGTGCAGACAAAGGCAATGCTGTGTTCCTGGTCAGCTTTAAATCACTCATGTGGCTGGGATTTCCTCCGTTCCCTTGGGAGCTAATAACGCTCTCTTTCCTAGCAGCTCAGGGTAGAAAATGGCAAGTGGATATGTTAGTATGCCTGGCGAGATAGGTCTCAAAACTGGCTGCTTGTCAAGAAGAGACAGAGATCAATCTGGATCTCTATGGATGCCAGACGCTTCCTGTTCTTTCATAGTCCAGTAAACATAAATGACTGCCTCTAAATAAGTTGCATCAGTTCACTAACAATGAAAATCTTTTTGTAAAGTGATGAGATCCTAAAGGTAGATAATACCAAGATATCTGCTATTCATGTGAAGTGTCTTAAAATGCTTCAAATCATACATTATTCAAATTAGATTGGTTTAATGGGGCCTGCTTGTTTCTAGCAATTGTGTGTATCTTAAATAGGATGGTTAAGCAGGGAAGACTGAGGATATGCTTTGATGGTGGTAAATGAAGTGCACCTCATTACATGCCATGGCTTGACAGCATATAGCTCTGTTTAAACTAATACAAGAGTGAAGCTGTTTTTTGTGAATGTAAGGTTTCTGTTCATGGTAAATGGATGCTACTGTCCCATCTCTGCTTCAGGGAGATGGAACTTCCCAGGGTGGATTTTCTTGTACTGACTGGTATCTCTGTCTTACAACAACACATCAATAAATTCACTGTGCTTTGGAGAAGTCCCCAAGATAAGAAAGAAGATAAGAAAATTTGGGAATAATTAAGCCTGTTAGAAGTGGGGGCATGGGTCAAGCCTCTCATAGTATCAAAGACAAGGGATTAGACTAGGATCCCATGAAAGAACTGGATGTGACTGAGAAGAGCTCAGCCTGTCCAAGCAGCTTCTTGGTTGCTGTAGCATTCCTTGTGGGGCCGGCTCCCACTCCAAGCCAACGTTTGGCACGGCTGTGTCTGACTCAGAGACTGTGCTGGGGAATTGCTTTGGCAGCACTGACAGTCTGCTCCCCACTGGGGTGAGCCAGCCGCGGCCATGCTGCCTGGACCTGACTGCAGCCTACACCAAAGGACATGTTGTCCCTGTTCCCTTGCTCAGCAGACCCTAAACTATGGCTTTGGACTGGCTTCCTTTGTTGTTATGCTTGCACTGCTTTTTCCCTAGCCTTTTCTGAGAGATTTCTGGAAAATGGGTCAATATTTCCCATAGATAATGTTCACTCACACGGATCCATTGATAAATGAACTTATTCTGCTGCTTGGCTGCCTCACCTGCTGTCTGTCTCAGACTAGCCCTGCTCGGACTTCTTGTAATGCTCTCAAACCTGGAATTGTTTTCAGATAAAACACAGCTATCTAGGGATGTGCTGCTTCTTGCGTTTTTTTTCCTCCTCTAGAACCCAGGTTTTCTGCAACTGTAGCTGAACACATTGCCACTGCAGGGTTTGGTTGTTTGGGGTTTTTCTGATAGTATTTAATCTGTGTGTGCCAGCTGGGACCTTGGCTGACATCCTTTGCACTGGATCAAACCAGAGGCTATTATCAGCTTGGTCTTGGAGATGGTTTGTGCCAGCTCCTTCTCAGCGTGGACTCTCGAATGAATGAGTTTAGAATAAGCAGCCCTTGGAAAAAGTCTTCCCACCACCAATCAGAGCTGGTTCTCTGATGCCAGCTTTGGTGAGAAAGCTCTTCGCAGAAACGTGCAGTACTCTCCAAGACTGATGTGCTTGGCCACATCCATACCTCTAGCAGTGAATTTCTTCATCTCTCCCGTGCAGTTAGAGATGAGCAGGGACAGTGTGAGGTTGGTTTACTTGCTGCCTGCAGCCAACCATAGATCCCTAGCTAGCTAGCTTTACAGCTGGCTGAATGTGTTAGATGCCAAAGCTCATTGGCTTGGGAATCAGCTGTTTATGACTTTAATGGATTGTTTATTTACACTTGAGACCTGCTTTTTTTCCCAGACTAGCTTAGTGAGGTCTCTGAGGTCTGCTGTGGAATCAGGTGCTGAGTAGGCAAGAAAATCAGGCCTTGATCTGAGGCACTTGCCTTTGCAGACAGCTGGATGCAAAAGCACCATCCTCACAGCGAGCTTGCAGAGTCATTGGTGAGTTTCCGCAGAGGTTCGTTGTAATATGGAGCAGCTGTCAATTCCCTGGTGATGCCCAAAAATATTTATCAGCACCTGTTTTGGGGAGATGAACAACCCTCCTGGGGATCCTCTGTTGGCATTTGATACTAAAGCAGCAATATACAAAGTGAGTGAAGGACAGCATTTCTACTTGTACTGTCTCAGCTCTTGGGAAGCTGAGGCCAAGGGCTGGCTGTTGCAGAGGACAGGAAAACATAGAATAAAGAGGTACGTCCCGCTCCAGTGAGTTTACAGCTTAATTGTAACGGGAGAAGACACAGAACATGCTCTCCTGTCTGTCGATCTGCAGTTAATGGCTTCACTACCAAATTAATTCCTACTTCCGTATAACCTTGCTAAGTGAAGTTGGAACCGTCCCTTCAGTCTCCACTCCCAGCTTTCTCTCCGTCATTCCTCTTTCATCTCAGAGGAGTATGGGAATGGACCACCCCAAAAATAGTTTGGCTGAGAGGCAAGATCCTGGAGCTTGTCATGGGCAGGGTGTCCCCAGGCCCACCCAGTCATGCCAAGTACACCGACGTTGCAGCTCTCCATGTGATATGTATAATTCAGTGGCACTGCGGCTGGGATTGGTTTTGCCCCAAGTGCATAACGCTTCTAAAATGTATTGCTCTCATATATTCCTTGTTGTTTAACTCTGAGTTCTAATTATTTTTGAAATGGCAAATCATGATACATAATTTATTGGGAAGACTGAGAAAACCCTAGCAGAGATGGGGAATGCAGAGGAGAAAAAAAATAGGTTGCTTACCAGGACTCAGTGTGATTTTACAGTATCAACCTGCTAGTTGAAATGCTGAAATTAGAGCTTGAATCACTTCAAAGATTCCTACTAATAAGGGAATGATTATGCACAATAAAAAAAAATCCAAACAGCGCTGAAAAAAAAAAAGTCATGTTAAGAGCTCAGTGTCTTTTCATTTTTCCCTTTCTCTGCTTTTTTATTCTGCTCTATCATTTTGCATAATAAACATGTCTTGCATAATAATAAACAAGCATCTGGGGAAGTATGTATATTAACTGTATTTTTTAATCTGCTTGCAGTGCTGTAACTATTTCGCAACAACTCCTCCAGGGTTGCTGTACTCTTATTTACATCATTTCAAGGTCAAGGGCTGAAATCAATAATGCTGCATTCTCTCCCCTAATAGGCTTGGGGTGTCAACCTTCTGCCAATAGCATTTCTTTAATGCCTGTTTGACCTCGAGCCCTGCTAGGTGAATCCATCAGAAGTGTCGATCCATTGGGCAGGTATCCTGAACATCTCGTTTTTGCAGACTTTGTAGATGAGCACGCTGCTGGGGGGATTCCCTGGTTTACATGGCTCATTAGGGAGCCAGGTCAGCAGAGACAGAAATGTCTCCAAAGGGAAAGCACAACAGGAGCCCAATTTAATGTGCTTTTAATTTTCCCCCCAGGGCATCCACTCTGCTTCGCTGACAGTTTAAGAGGGTTTGCTGAAAAGAGATGTTAACTGGAAGATGTGAAATGCCTCTTGTCTCCAGGCTTAATCATGAATGTGGAGGGAGTAAAATGGATGCTGGGGGCAAGCAGTTGTGCCAGGAAAGCCAGTCCCTGGGAGCAGATTCCTACCTTGCATCGAATGTTCCTAAAATACAGCTGATGAGTGTTCTGGTAGCATGGAAACCTGTAAACACATCTATCAATAGCCAGGCGGTCACTTTTCTAACCAATGAGGTGCTCCACCCACGTTGCCAGGCTGTCCTCATCTCTCAGAAGCAAAGTGGTGCTTCAGCTTTCTATGTGCCCTGGCACTGAGAGTTCCCCTGTCCTATGTGAGATTGGTGGTAACTGGGCTCGGGATTGTTCAAGATGTGGTGGCATGATTGAGATGTATGAGAAACCAGATTGACC